GGGGGGGGGGGGGCACAGGGCATGGCCAGGGGTCCCCCACCTGTCAGTGAGGAAGAGCCCATGAGGGTGGGGAAAGCCCACCTGCGGAATGGAGGCTGCAACCACCCAGGGAGGTCGCCAAGCCTGGTGGGCAGGGGATGGCCGGGCCTTGGCTCACCAGGCCTGTGGAGACAGTCACCCCATCCCTGCCACCCTCCCAGGCTGCGGGCCACCTGTCAGGAGCCCGGATTTATAAGGCCCTGCCTGTGAGGAAGCCAGGAATTCTCCTCCTGCAGCCAGGTGTCACCCAGACAGGCAGGGCTGCACCAAGTCCCAGCAGAGGGCTGTGGGCCAGCTGGCTGGAGTCCCACACGGGCCTCTGTAGACGGACATGTGGGAGCTGCAGGTGTGGAGGGGCAGACCTCATGTAAGGGCTTCACAAAAGGCCCTGAGTTTTCAGGGGCCTGAAAGAGGTCTCCCCAAAGAAGGGGACAGCCCCACATCCCGCTGTGCCCAGCTGAAGGGCAGGAGGGCCAAGATCTGGGAAGAGCGGTGCTGGAAGCATCCCATGAGCCACACATCAAAGGGCACCGGTGTGGGGAACCCCTTCCCTGGGCAGGAAGTGGGGGGATGCCTGTATACCTCCCCAAGAATGTTCCACCCCAGAAGCCTGCCTCCCCTCCTCCCCTCGGGGGCAGCGGGACACCGGGGGCCCGTGTGAGCGAGCTCCGCAGGCCTACGTGCCCGCTCGGCATCCCAGCCAGAGCAGGTCGGGGCCTGCCTCTGAGCCTGCCAGGCCCCACCTGAGTCACCCCCTTCCCACACACCCTGCTGCACGTCATGGGCAGGGGTTCCAGTCCTGACAGGTAACACCAGGCCCTTGTGGGGGCTCCGAGCCAGCCTTGGGGGACAGACGCCCTAGGAGTCAGACAGAGAAACACAAGAGATGCTGGGCTGGGGGCACTGAGAGTCAGCCATGGGAGGGAAGGTGGCTCCAAGGTGACCAGGCTGCAAAGGTGGGGACATTGGGAAGGCCTGGCAGGGGCGGTCCCAGCACGGGGGAGGTCCCCAGGCTCCTGGCCAGGTCAGGGCAGAGGTGCAGACAACCTTGGCTTTGACCCAGGAGAGTCAGAAATTCCCCTGGAGTCAGGCAGGGGCCCCAGGGTGACCTGGCCACAGCGAGAGGTGACAGTACAGTGTCCCGGGGCTGCTGTGACAAAGCACCTCAGGCCTGGGGCTTAAACAACAGAATTGTACCCTCTCACAGTTCTGGAGGCCAGAATTCAAAATCCGTGGCCCCAGGCTAAGCCCAGGTGCAGGCAGGGCCGCTGGTCCTGAGCTCCAGGAGCACTTCCCCTGCCTCCTCCAGGGGCCAGTGTTCCTGGGTCACGGCCACGTGGAGCCAGCCCTACACCCAGGCCTGGCCGGCGGGGCAGGAGGGAGGTCCCAGCACGAACTCCTGCTGCTGCTGGGGCAGGTCCCGCCAGAGCCGGGGTTCGGAGGCCCCCCAGCACCTCCACTCTGCCCCACCAGGCGAGGCAGCACCCGAAAGCCGGCACGGGCCCCAGCTGCTCGGCCCCTGGGCTGTTGGGCCTCGGTTTCCTCATCTCTGAGACGGAGAGGAACGCAGCCACGAGGACCGCCGGGCCCGCGGGGCTCAGAGGCGAGCACTGCGCCCATCGGCACCTAATCCCACTCGGGGCAGAAATGAAAACTCGCAGCTGGGCCTCAGGCCCTCGACACCAGAACCGAGGCCCTGCTCCTCTCAGGGAACCGCTGGGACGCCAGGGCACAGAGTCCTCCCTGCATTCACCCCGCTCTCCTTCACGATGCTGCCAGGCCGGGCACCCGCCTCGGCTTGTCCCAGAAGCCTCCCGGCTCTCAGGCCAACGCGGAGCTTCCCAGCTACCGGGGGAGCGCCTGCCAGGTGGGGCAGGGACCAGGCTGGCAGCCAGGGACCCGGCCCTGCCCCTGGCTGGGGACACAGGGCTCAAGGAGGATCTGCCTCTGAGCAGCCTTCAAAGGGAAAGCGCCTGAAACAGGCCCCCGCTAAAAAGCTGTCCCACCATCGCCCGGGGGG